AAAAGAAGATGGAAGGAATATACTGAGTCATTGTATCGAAAGGAATTGGCAGATACAGAAGAATTTAATGAAATAACATTTGAGCAAGAGCCTATGGTAATGTAGGAAGAAGTTCAAGCTGCTTTGAAGGAAATAGCAAAAAATAAGGCCCCAGGAATAGATGTTTAGGGGAGAGAATAAAAAAAACCACTATACATTTTCTTCTATTATTGAAAGTCTTCTTAACTCCTTTCTCACACACTTCCACATCTATTCTATTAGTAAATCCATTTGTCACTACAGAAATATTTATTTAGACTCCAACCATGGCTACCATCATCATTTCTCTCCTCAATTATTATAAAATCTAATAGTTTGCCTCTCTAGACTCTAAAATTTATTCTCAATACAGCACCCAGAGTGATTCTATTAAAATATGATTTTATGATTCCATTGCTCAAACCATCCTCGAGCAGCTAGAACTCCTTTCCCCAGATACTTCTTTGACTCATTCCCTCACATTCTTTGTTCAGCACTTTCTCGGTGAGATCTCTCACCCTTCCTACCACTCCTCCCACTCATCTTACCTTGATATAACCTCAAAATGCTTAGAATTTTGGGTTGTTGTGGTTGTTGTTGTTCTGTGCCATCATGTCACTTGTGACTCATAGTGACACTGTGTACAAGAGCCCTAAACCCTGCTCAATCCTGTGCCAACCTTACTGTCTCTAACACTCCTACCCCTATTGCCCCAGTGACTGAATTAATCCATCTTACCAAAGGTCTTCCTCTCCTGCGCTGTCGCTCCACCCTCCCAAGCATGATGTCTTTCTCCAAGGACCAGTCCCTCCTTGTAACACGTCCAAAGTATGTCAGATGAACTTCTCCAGGATGATCCTGTTTGTTCTCCATAGTATATTCAACGCTTTTCTCCAGCACCACAGCTCAAAGGCATCAATTCTCTTTCTATCATCCTGAGTCATTGTCCAGCTCTCTGATACATAGCAAGCAAATGCGAAGACTATGGCCTGGATCAGGCACACCTTAATCTCCAGACTGACGTTTTTGCTCTTTAGTTCTCTGGAGAGGTCCCTTACAGCTGACTTTCCCAGTGCAATTTGTCTCTTGATTTCCTGGCTGCTGGTACCAGGAGTGTTTATTGTAGAGCCAAGCAAACTAAAATTGTTCATTATCTCAATATCTTCACCATCCATAATGATGCCACCACTTGGCCCCATGGTGAGAATTTTTGTTTTCTTGATGTTGAGCTTCAATCCATATTGAAGACTGCAGTCCTTGACCTTCTGCAGCAAGCTCTTCAGGCCCTCCTCAGTTTCAGCAAGCAGGGTTGTATCATCTGCATAATGCAGGTTGTTGATGAATCTTTCTCCAATCCCGATGCCACGTTCATCCTCATAGAGCCCAGCCTCCCAGATGATCTGTTCTGTATATAGATTGAAAAGGTATGGAGACAGAATATATCCCTGGCATACACCTTTCCTGATTTTGAACCGTGTGGTGTCTTCTTACTGCCTCCTGGTCCAAGTATAGGTTTTGCATAAGCACAATCAAATGTTCTGGGATTCCTATTCTTCTCAGAGTCAGCCAATTAGTTTGTTATGAATTGTGAGTAGCCCATAAATACTGAATAAACCTGAATTGTTCTTCCTCTCTTTAAGAGAGTGTGTGTGTGTGTGTGTGTGTGTGTGTGTGTGTGTGTGTGTATGAGAGGCATGAGGAATATACACTTGAGGTAATAGCTTTTGTGTGGGGATTTTTGCATGCTATATAACTTGCTTTTCTTACACCCTTACAGTGGAGCGAAAAGCCCCAGAAAATTTAGTTTTCCCATGGTCATACAATTTCTAAATGGTACACCTAGGACTTAAAGCCAGATTTTACTAAATCCCAGACTTGTCTACTACCTGCAGCATAAAGAGAGAAGAGATAAGGAAGAAAAACAGACATTAAAAAAATAAATAAATAAATTCAGACTTTTACCAGAGAATAAAACTTAAATTTCACAGAAGGGCCAGGATGTTTCAGCTTCTTCCCTAGCACTGTTGGAGGTAGTGAGTTTGCCAATTCTGATTTACCATCTGCTCCACAGAAGAAATACATGGCATGAAGATCTGTAGCCTTGGCTCTAAGGAACACTGATTGCACTTTCTTGAAGACATGTTGTTGTTCGGGCAGTCCATAGTGTACTCAGTACTATTCTCCAACACCACAACTGAAAGGCATCAATTCTTCTATTATCCTTAGTCACTGTCCAACTTTCAGATGCACAAAAAGTAATTGAAAAGACGATGGCTTACATTTTAAACTGACATTGCTCGTTAGCTGTTTGGACAAGTCCTTGACAGACTTTCCCAGTGTAACCTGTCTTTATTTCTTAACTGCTGTTACCAAGGATGTTGATTGTAGATCCAAGTAAGATTAAATTGCTTCTAGTTTCAGTCTTTTCTCCACTATCATGATGCTGCCTGTTGGCCCAGTAGTGAGAGTTTTTGTCTTCTTGGTGTTGAGATGATCTTTTCAACAAGTACTTCAAATCCTCTTCACTTTC